GTCCAATTGACATCCAAAAATTTAAAGGTTGGCCTTTTCGTTGAGCTCAACAAATTACAAGGTTGGACCTTTCGTCTACCTGGCCAACTAGTAGAGAAACATATAAGTCCCTACTCGAGGGTTGTTGAAGAATTGGAGAAAAATTAACCTCGAATAGTAGCGTAATCGACTTAAGGGCTGTTCGGTAGCATATTTAGAGGCCCGTTTTTGTTTTCTGAGCCCAAATACGAATAAAAAATGCGTTCGGTGGGTTGTTGACAAAAACACGAAAAATGATTTGGGAGAATGAATTCACACGTAAAGCGTAAAACGTGAAAACACCAAAATGACATTTTCTCCATTCTCAACCCAAAATTAGAGTACGGAGAAAACAAAATCACGCTTCGTCTAAGTCGCCCTTCGTCTAAGTCGGAAGTAGAAATTTCTTGCTTCTCACTCTTGCAATCTTCCTACACACACTCTTGGAAGATCTTGGTAAGAAAAATTTGTATAAAATATTTCGTTTCAGACTTGGGTTTTTCTGTATGTTGTATCTGAAACTATTCTTCTCAGATTTCGTTTCACACTCTCTCAGAAGATCTTGCTGCTCAACCTGGTTTAATATTTTGTTTCAGATTTGGGGTTTTCCTTATGTTTAGATTTGGGGTTTAGATTTGGGTATGAAGACTCTGGCTTTCTGTTTATTGTGATTGTAGTAAACTGGTTTTCTGTTTTATGTGATTCGATTGAAATAGTATTGTTCTCTGCACTATTGTCTGTTTCTATTATATAACTTCAAGTTGAAGACATGATCATTGATTCAGAAAATACAACAACACCGAATATAGATATGTCTGCAAGAAAGATTGCACAAATGGGTGACATTAGAGACAAAATCGCAACGAATTTGTGGCAGGATTTTATTTAGTGCTCATGACAATGATTTTAAATTTTATAGGACATTAGGAAATATTGTACCAAACGAATTCTCGAATCTTGAAAATGCATATTCCTTTTCTTGTTTTCATTTTCTGAAAATATTCTCAGAAAACATTCTTCGAAAATGTTACCGAACGGACCCTTAATTGTGTAATTTTTTTTGTAGAAACATCGTTGGAGTCGAGCACTTCTTCAATGAGTTAAAGCTTCTGCTTTTCTTTTTTCCATTTTTATTTTTATTTTTATTTTTTGGCAATCCACTAGTTTAAGACCTTCCCTTTCTCCCACATACCAATTTGGGTGGATTATATATGGCATTTATGACCATATGTAAGTGTTGCTAACGTTGGTTAGGACTGGTTTTTGGCATGTCCAATTGGAGTATGGTGGTGACAAAAGTGGCAAACCCATATGTGCTTCAACTTAGACCAAAATCTCATGTAGTTGGCTTCAACTCCACAGTTGTGTCAATATGGAAGTTCAGCTATATTCAATATTTTGGGATCCCAAAAAATGAAAATCTATCAATTGGATCTTGCTTTGTGTGGAATGGTTATGTAGAATAGGAAGATCATAGGTGGCGTTGACATCTATGCAAGTGGTTGCTGCTTGCTTTTTTATTTTTTCTTTATTTTTTTGGGTAAAAAAAGGGGGCTAAATGCCCAAACAAAACAAACTACAAACCAAAAGAACGGGGCCTCACAGCACCCCTAGCATCCTTAGCAAGAATAAATTCAAGGAAGTCAGGAACCTCATCGTAGACATGGAGACCAGGTTCAAGAGTATAACTTCTGGTAGCCAAAGCATCAGCAGCTACATTTTGTTCACGGTAGATATGCTTAACTGCACAATACCAGGAATCATGGATCTTCATTTTACAGCAGGAAATGATGCTGTAGAGAGGGTGGGTTGGGGCAGTAGGAGAAGATAGCAGAGTTACAGCAGCGCTAGAGTCGCACTCAATCTCCACATCGCGATAACCAGCGTCCCAAGCCAAACTAAGCCCCCAAAAGATACCCCATAGTTCAGCCTCAATGATGGTACTAGCACCCAGATTCACAGAAAAGCCTTTGATCCAAGCACCAAACGCATCATGTAATAAACCTCCAGCACCACTAAAACCAGTGGCATTGATTCTACTTCCATCGGTGTTAATTTTGCATGTACCCGGTCTGGGTGTCTTCCAGTGAAGTTGAAACACAATACGCTCCCGAGGGCCTATAGTTGGATTACAAGCACTGTACCACTCCAACGCATACTGGTAGACCAGGTGTAAAGGCTCAGAAGCCATAATAAAGCCTTGCTCGAAAATCAGCTTACATCTCAATTTCCAGATATACCATAAATAAATTGAAAAGACTAAGTACCAAGGCAGGCCATGGTGAGTAATCTTTTTTGATTGAAGATTCAGAGTGAGCCAAGCATCAAACTCCATGAGGTTTTGGCAAGGGAGGGGACATCCACCGCCAAATCTATTCCAGAGGGACTGGGTACCTTGACAGTCTTTAAATAAGTGCTCAACAGACTCCGCAGAATGAGTACATCTCGGACAAGCATCTACATTGGTGAACCCTCTTCTTTGCCTTTGGACATTTGTAAGAATCTTTTTATGGCATAAGGTCCAGAGGAAAGTTTTCACCTTGGGGGGGATGTGCAGATTCCAGAGGAAATGCCATTTCCATTTGTGGCTATCTTCTTCCACAAAGGAGGAGCTGTAGGCACTTTTGACAGAAAAAGAGCCATTAGGGGTGAACTGCCATATGCGCTTATCATCTCCACACCCATTAAAACCAGCATGGATACCACTAATTAGCTTCACAATGTTTTCAGGAAGGCATGCCAATAAGCACGTGATGTCCCAAATCCCATTATCCAGATAGTCACTAACCTTGGATTGTAAAAGTTCCTCAGAAAGATCAATAGTAGCAAATTGTTGCAGAGTACCACAACTGAGCCAATTGTCTGTTGTTCGGTTCATTTTTACACATGATTTTTCATGTTATTCACCCACTATTTTGAGTTAGTTCTTGACATTTTATAGCTTTTTACTTCCTTTTTGTGTTTTCTTAGATTTTACCTTGGTTGGGATGAAAATGAGCTAAAAGTGCATTATTAGTTATAAATTCTGTTTTTGTTCATTTTCGTAGGTCAACTACTTGGCCTGGGATCAACATGCTCTGGTGCTCGGATGAGGTCATGATCTTCATAAGACTTGTTCCAATGGATGTTAACTACAACATATCCAAATTTGAGCTCCATTGGACAAGTATTGCCTATCCAACCAATCCAGCATGTTACCACAGCTCTGGAAATCCGGATTTGGCCAGCTTTTGCCTCCTTTGTGTTATCTTGATTTTCTTGTTACCATAACTCTTGGTAACAAGAAGTTACCTTAGCTTTGAGATAATTTCTGAAGCAATTGGCATCTTTGTGAGGACAAAGCTTCAT